TCAGACTATATACATGAATGCAACGGATTCTATGGTGAGACTTTACATATACATTCATGACAGATAAACACATGCAACGGATTCTATTGCGACACTTTTACTCCTAATAAACCTTCAAAGCCCGCAATATGGACGGAAGCTTGGAGTGGCTGGTAAATTGTTATTTATTCTTGGATTAAATACAAGAAATAGCAATATACCTTCATTGATTTGTTTTTATAACATCCTACTTTTGTTTCTTACTATTACAATATTGTACTTTAAAAAATATATATCCGTTAAAGCAATGTCATTCAAATACAAAACAATTTTCACTGTATCATTTATAGATTTTACGAAAAAAAAATTAAAGGTACAATTGTATGAAAGAAATGAAAGTAGAATGCTGAAATACACAAATAAATGAAAGTGTTTTTCTCTTTCTTACATTTAACCCTTTATTCTTCTACAGATTTAGAATTAAAATTCTTGCTTTGTTATTAAGGTTTACAGAATTTGGTGCTCCGATTGAGCAGCGACCAGTACCTGATTTAGCATTTGCTGTGGCGCGTTTTGTACAGAAAGGTGGATCATTTTTCAATTATTACATGGTTAGTAAATTTTCTGATAACAAAATACATTTTTTTAAACATTTTCTTTCATTTTTTTATTGAATTACTGTTTAAATTTGTGACAGTATCATGGTGGAACAAATTTTGGACGCACAAGTGGAGGACCTTTTATCACCACAAGCTATGACTATGATGCTCCCATCGACGAATATGGTGAGAAACATAAAAGGGTTAAATGCAAGAAATAGCTACAAACTTTCATTGATTTGTTGATTTTAATGCCTTAATGAGAAATAAATCAAAAGGACTCTATAATACACATAGAAATGAAATTATGTTGCTACTCCGTGTAAATCGATCTAACTTTGAATGATTTTCAGGATTGATCAGAGAACCTAAATACGGCCATTTAACCGAGCTTCACAGGGCCATTAAGCTTTGCGAACCGGCTTTTTTTTCTTCAGATGCTAAAAATATTTCTCTAGGACAGAGGCAAAATGTTAGTTTTTTATAACCCATTTTACATTTATCTCAGATATATAGTTTGTTACATGCATATGTCATGAACCATTTTATTAATAATTTTTAAGCTAATTAAGTTGTATATATTCAGGCATACGTGTATGAAGGAAACGGAAATTGTGCAGCATTCCTTTCAAATTTTGAAACCGATTTTGCTGTTAGAGTTGTGTTCAGGAATCACCATTATAAATTGCCACCTTGGTCCGTTAGTATCCTCCCCGATTGCAAAAATGTCGTGTTTAATACTGCAAAGGTAATAATTTTTGTTGGGGATAAAAAGAAAAAAAAAAGGTTATATATATTTGAACTTATTATAATAATATTTTGTTTTTCAAGGTTGCAACTCAAACTTCACGGATGAAAATGGTGCGGACGGGTTCTAGCTTAGAGTCATGGGAGACTTACCATGAAGATATTTCTATGTTAGCAAGTGGGCCATCTTTGACTTCGGTTGGACTCATGGAACAAATAAATATCACTAGAGATTCAAGTGATTACTTATGGTACTCGACTAGGTATGTATTTCAAACTTTTATCGTTTTAGAATATTTTTTTACTTTTGCTAAATGCAAGAAATAGCAATGAACTTTCATTTATTTGTGTAACTTCCATTTCTTTATGTTACAAACATTGTACTTTCAATCTTTTTCTTATTAAGCATTATAATTTCAACTTTTTTCTTATTCGAATATCATAATCTGAAAAATCTATTGTATTTGGATGACATTGCTAGCATCGATACCAGATTATCAGAGACAGGTCCTCGTAAAGCCACTCTGACGGTTCAGTCTAGAGGCCACGGAGTTCACATTTTCGTGAACGGACAGCTTTCAGGTACTTCAATGCAACGTACTTTCATTTATTTTTGTAATATAGCATCCTAATTTTATTTCTTCCTATCACAGCTTATTATATCCAATTATTTCTTATGAAGGCGTTGTACTTTGAAAACCTACCCAAGTATAACTTTGTGTTTTCAAACGTTTTCTTGATAGGACACTTTAGTCTATACTTTCAAAATTTACCCAATTTATAGCCATGAAAGGTGTTTATATTTAGAAGACATTGCTTGAATTGGGTAGATTTTTTTAAGTACAATGTTGTAATTAACAAGAAGAAATGAAACTATGATGCTATAATAAATATAAGAAACAAATCAATAAAAGTACATTGTCATTTCTTGCATTTAATTAACGCTAAATTACATGTATATCTATGTAGGGTCGGCGTATGGGTCCCGGGAGACCACTAGATTTACAGTTAGAGCACCCGTTGAACTCCGAGGCGGAACGAATATAATCTCACTGCTTAGCATTGCTGCAGGACTACCAGTAAGTTGATATATGAGCACTATTATATTAATATTTTTATAGAGAATGTCAATGATTTTTTAGTATTTATATAAAATTACCGGTTCTATCAAAAACTTCTCCAAGTATTTGAAGAGTTTTGATCTACTTTGAAGTTGAAAGCTATCTCATTTGATCTAAATACTCAAACTGTAACTTCCCTTTGACACTTGTTGATAGTTTATTCAAATTGTTTCTTTTTGTTCAAGAATGTCGGAACACACTTTGAATCAAGGGATACAGGAATTCTAGGACCCGTTTCTCTGGATGGACTTGACCAAGGAACGATCGACTTATCAAGAGGGACTTGGACTTACAAGGTAAAGTGTTGTTTCCTTTTGACTTAATGAACTTAAACATGACTTATTTCGGTAACCTATATATGAGTGTTTTCTTTTGACTAAATACAAAAAGAAAGACTTGACTTAGAATCTTAGGAAATGAGACTTTTCCGTTAAGTCCTAACATTTTACACCCTCACATTTTCCCATGTAATTTTCTAAGCATCATTGACACAAATCCTTAAAACAGGTTGGGTTAAACGGGGAGACGATGAATTTGAATTCGCCAAATGGCATCTCGTTTGTAGACTGGAGTCGAGTTTCATTAGTCAACCCACATCAGCAGCCATTGAAATGGTACAAGGCTTATTTTGATGCACCCGAAGGCAATGAGCCACTGGCTTTGGATATGAAGAGTATGATCAGAGGTCAAGTATGGATCAATGGTCAAAGCATTGGAAGATATTGGACCAAGCATGCAAGTGGAAAGTGTGGCTCTTGCAAGTATACTGGAGCTTTCAGACCCGGAAAATGTCAAGTGGGCTGCAATGTACCAACCCAGCGATGGTAAATAACCATATAAGAAAAATGTGTCGCTAATCTGTCACTAGAGATACATTGAGTGACGAATATCTAAAGACTTCATCTGTTTTTGTTAGGTATCATGTACCTCGATCATGGTTAAAGCCGAGACAAAATCTATTGGTGTTGTTTGAAGAAGTTGGGGGGAATATATCAAAGATATCTCTGGTTAAAAGAACTCAGGTGAATGTTTGTTCTTCTACATTTGAGCACCACCCTGTCATCTCCAACTACCAAACTGAGAGCTCAGGTGAAACCACTATGCTTCATGACACAAAGGTCCGCCTGCAGTGTGGGTTTGGCCAATCCATTTCTTCAATCAAGTTTGCAAGCTTTGGGACTCCTTTTGGAAGTTGTGGAAGTTTTCAACAGGGCACGTGTCATGCACCCAACTCTCTTGAGCTCATAGAGAAGGTGAGATTTTTATATATATAAATGGCCTTTCACAATTGAATCCGTAGCCAAATCACAGAATTTCTAGTAGTGCTTTTTGAACATTCTTTTGGTGCTTGAGACCTGAATGTTTTTTAATATGTTATATTCTCTAATGCTTTACTTTTTCAACAGTCATGTGTTGGACAGGAGAGTTGTGAGGTGATGGCTTCAAACAATTATTTTGCAACGGATCCGTGTCCTAATGTCTTGAAGAGGTTATTGATTGAAGCTGTTTGTTCTATCAAACCGAACTATACAGGTTAGATGACCATGGTGAGGGAACCAAGAACTAGTCAGCTAAAAGATCATGGTGCGTGAACATGAAGGAGTTGAGGTTTATGAGATACAACAACCTAGATGATAGGATTTCATTTAAGGATTTAGAAACTAAGTTTTGGTGAAGAAACCAATAAGAAGAAATAATATTCTGGAGATCGGACACCATGAATAAAGTGGTTTTGTGTATACTGGAGTGAGAAATGTGTACATGATATGCTATACAAATGTAAAAATTATGGTGCCAGATGTTATATGAGGGAGATAAATATTTGATTGGATGAGATGGATTTACCCATTGTTAGAAAACTTGGTGTTTCGATTGCTTGGATTCACTAGGAGTCGTGATGCACTTTCAGATTGAACTATTTCGATGGTACAATCGAAAGTTCAATCGGATAAAACTCAGTGTTTGATGAACAAAGAATGAAGGAAGTTATGATCTTCTATGTACCAAATTCAAATGACCAAAAACCGTATATTAAGTATTAACCACTATCTGAAAACTAGCGAAAAACTGTTATATAGCAGTTTCATAACCATTACAAAACTGTCACTAAACCGGGTTTGAAGTCACAAATTCGGATTTTCATGCATTTTCCGTAAAACAATATTAACCCAGCCATGCGCTCTGCCCCTTGGACCACGCTACCAGGGGCGCAGCTCCCGAACCCCGTGGTTTTCAAATCAGAATAAACTCAAACAAGGGTGCACTCTGCACCAACTTTACTTGTTCAAAATTTATTAAAATTACATTGGTCAATAAGTTTATCCCATTACACTTAAATAATATTGGTGATACAAATCACCAACATCCAAAACCACATGCGAACACAAAGGTAATGATAACACAAAAGGTAATGAGAGTGTAGTTTTATGTTTTGTTATATAGTTGATTTTGGTATAGATGGCTACCACTCTATTATTTTGATGAAATAAACATATATAACAACCAAAGAATGAGTAGACATATGAATCGCGTTACCACCTAGTGTAACACTTATCACAAAATATCATGCGGAAGCCCATCTCATTAATCTAAAACTAAACTTCATCATCTATTACCAACTACCGGAAAACAGTTCAATACTTCATTGTCTAATCTATATCGAAAAATTGATCAACATCAATGTGTGCATCATCAAGAATTCTGGAAAATGCCAACAGTGTAATATAGTATCTGTTTTATGCAACTCAAATACTTCAGCCTATTTCAAGGAGCCCACCAACGCAAGGCCCAAGATAGTAATTCAAGCCCAACTCGTTTTCGTGAATAAGCAGAAGAAAAAAAAAAGTCAAATTTGAAAGAGTAAAACACGTTTCCTTCTTTTTAGTTAGGTTAGTTGCAGTGCATGTTACCATTTCTCCTTAATTCCATGCATAAAACTAAGGCTTAGCTGCATATTTGATTCCAGTAATGATATTGATAAGACCTTGTTTGAGAGGGTCAATCTCCACAGAAAAAAACAGAGAGAAGGAGACAGAGTTTTTGGGACAATTTTCAACGTATTCATTCTCCAAAACATTAGAAACATTAAATACTAAAATAAAATGGCACATGGCTGCCAAAAATCAAGGAACTAAACTATTGTGCTGAGACTTATTCTAAACGGAAAACAACTAGTGGGTCCTAAAATTATGCATGACCAATTCATGCACACGTGAATTAAGTTGTTGGGGATTTTCTTCTGCTTGTTCAACAAGTACCCGTTAGTCATTAAAGCGGACGGGCCTTCGTATCATCCTCTTGGGTCGT